TCAATACATTTGGCAGCAAAGTAATTTAAAAATGAAGAATGAACTGACCCGTTAGGCAAGTAAATGTTGAAAATGGCCGCCATGACTCTCCATGCAATAATAAAGATTTTGTTCAAAACGTTGCCGCACATTTGAGGAGTAATTTGAAGGCACTCATTCACAATTCTTTGTCGCAGGCCTTCTAATGATGTTGGCTGAGTAGCATAGATTTTGCTTTTTAAATGACCCCACATAAAGAAATCCAAAGGTGATAAATCTGGCGATCTTGGGGGCCATTCAATGGCACCTCTTCTACCAATCCATCGATCTGGAAACGTCTGATCTAAATATTGTCGAACACGTAATGCGTAATGTGGTGGGGCACCATCCTGTTTGAACATCAACCTATTCGCAATGTACCGCCTATCATTCTGATTTTCAATTATGGTTGTTAATGCTGGATCTATGGCGTCTTCCAGTAATTCCAAATACATTTGATCGGTCAAATTTCCATGATAAATTCTGGGATTAGAATCGGACCAATATCGGCAGTTACGACGATTTACTACGCGATTTAAGAAAAAGGAACATTCGTCGGAGAAGCAAGTGTTAAATAGAAAATGTTCATCGTTTATAATTCGTTCACTCATATCTTCACAAATTGTAATCACCGATCAAAATCGTCTTCATTAAGTTCTTGTACCAGGTGAATTTTATACGGATGAAAACTATGGGCCTTTAGAATCCGTTGGACAGTACGTCGACTAACACCACGCACAGTCTCCAATTTGCGGATACTTAACGTAGGATCTACATAAACTTGCCCTAAAACCCCCACCTCTATTTTTTCGTTCCTTATGGGATTTTCAATGTTGCGTTTTTTATTGACGACTGGCCCAGTTTCCCGAAATTTAGCTACAAGTGCTAGAACATATTTTCGATGCACGTTACTGTTGTCATGTCGCTCATTAAATAATTCTGCTGTTCTATTACAGCACTGATTATTTCCGAAAAATATTTCGATAATTTCAACTCTTTCTGCTGTGGAATAGACCATGGTTAATTTATGTAATAATGCGTTACAAGTTGTTTTAGCAACAAAGTTTGGTCAAATCAATCGCAAACTATGTACTAAATTCTTATTTAAAATAGGTACGAGATATTTCCTTATCTTTCTTCAAGAAATAACTTTTTTGCCACAAAAAAAAACGCTCCAATAGCTATTTTCAACAACAAAATGATAAACAAACCATGGGCATAGTGAAGAAACGCATTTACCTATTAAGTAAATTCTTTTGGTCAAATTTCTTCTGAAAGTAGTACAAACTAATCTGATGTACCTATTAAAGTCTACTTTAAGCTTTAAATCAATAAATCTTCAAAACTACGGAACTGAAGCTCATATATTTTACATCATTATGAAGGGAATTGAAAGACCTTTAAAATAAGGTACCACTCGACTCCCCTTTCCATTTAAGATTTTAGGGTTGGTGTCACCCCCGCCCAGGGGGCTGCACGTGTTAACGTGATTTTTTGCCAAACTTGTGTCTCCCTCGAAAACAAAATCAACGGATCTGACCGTTATGAAAAAAAAAACTGAGCTGCCAGTAAATGCGTCTGTTTCGTTTTCGATGCGCGACCCTGTATACATATAACTGAAAAGAAATTGGCACATCAGGTATGCTTGTGACATCAAAACATATATTTTTGTAAAAAGTACAATAATAGTCAGCTATACTGGAAGAGATTGTTGCTTAATGTACAATAAATGTTTATGATTTTCGTGAATATTTGACTTCCGGTATGTCCCTTAGAAGTCTCCAACAATAATCTGCTAGCATTTCTGGACCCCATTTCCATTGATAGCGCTTCTCCATTAGGGAAATGTCCTAATGAAATCGCTCGCCTTGTTCGTCACTCACAGCACCCAAATTTGCAGGAAATAAATGCAGATGAGAGTCTAACATGTGTATTTTTAAGGACATATTACACCCCAAATTTTTGTATGACAGGATCAGTTCATTTATTACGTTTTTTTTCTGCCCTATGGTTTCCTAGAAAATTTTGTACAATTTTGACAAAACTTTTCCAGGCGAGTTTTTCCTGATCATTCAGTTTTGCTTCAAAATTTTTATCTTTTATTAGTTCACGTATTTGTGGGCCTACAAATATTTCCTCTTTAATTTTAGTCACGCTGATTTTGGGGAATTCGTCTATCAGATATAAAAATCCACTGCTATCTTTGGACAAAGCCTTCACAAATTTTTTACGAAGCCGAGCTGCAACGGTGCTAAAATTATCAGGGTTCACTACCGGTTCATTCTTAACATTTTTATAGCCTGGAGTAAGCGATTCACGCTTGGGCCATACCTTTTTTATGAAGTGAAGGAAAACTTAGCAGAAGCGAAGAAGCGTAACTTACATTTTAAACTGTTAATTGAAACAACCTGGTAGAATTTCGTGAGTGCTGGTACCAAAACCGTTCGGGTACAGGAATCGATTCCATCGGAATTGTTCCCTACTGCGGTGTCGTTCCTTCGTAGTGTTCATTAACACCCTTGGTCTACTACCATTGACGTCATAATTTGTGAGACAAAAGCGTGCAATATATGTGTTAGAAAGCGGTAAAAGCATCACGTTCCCTTGCAACTCGAGTGAAGCGACATACGTATTGCATGCTTCCTTCTTGTACGCATTACCTTGTCGGTGATATTTTTGGATTGCTCTGTATACTAAGAGAAGCGATGGCAATGCTTTTTGTGCTGTAAAAACGACCTTGAAACTTGACGCCTGGAGTACCAGTGGAGATTTCTACAGGGTAGGAGGATTTTTCCCCAAATTTGGGAGATTTTTAGTTGGGAAATTTTTGGGTATATAATGTTCTGATGGATATCACAAGTTTCGCGGTTAGAAAGAGTGCCCACTGCTCTTTGAACCAGACCTACCCCTTTCCATTAACTGATAGGTATTTGTGGGCTTTTGTTCTACGGAAATTTCGAACAATCTGGCAATGGCGTGCTTTGACAGATCCGCCATATGAACACCAACAAACGGATTGCCATTTAGCCGATTGTAAAACAACCCACCTTTTTTTCCTTATTTCTTGTAAATGCTGATTGTAATTATTCTCCAAAATACTAGACAAAAACTCAATCTTTTATCCAGAAACAGACGAGATTCATAGATTAATTCACTGGACACCCTTGATAGAAGAATAACCACTTAAGAATTTGTTCAAGATGTTTCAGAAAAGGTAACGTCTTGAGAAACAAAATTGTTGGAGCTACACGTTTAGACTCACCCGCGAAAGGTGTGTTGTATAATATAAAAACAAAAGTCATTTGTAAAACCTGTAAGTCTGCACCTACCTGATTAGCTTTTACTGCCCTACGAGGGAAATTTTTACGAGTTAGTTTAGTATCAAGCTGTGGTATCAGTACAAGTTGTCAGTTTGAGATACAAATTTTGCCTAACGGTGGAAGGCTCCCAGATGCTAAAAACAAGCATTTTAAATTCCAATGATCTAAATGACATGGGTCACAAGGCCATACATGAATTCACTTTGAGGCCGGAAATTAAAAGGCTACATAGGTAAAAATACCTGAGCAGCATTAATTTCCACGCTGTAGTAATACAAATGACTAAAGAAAAGTATTATTTCAGATGAGAAAATATTTAATGAAATGGAGGCGTAGAGTCAGATATATATGTTAAACCACTTACTTAAATATATTCAAGTGTGGTAATGTCATGTCTGCAGGGGCTTTTCCATCGGTAGATTTGAGCTTTTCATGCTCCATGACCATGAAGGCGATAGTTACGGCAAGTTTAAGATTTTTAACTAGCTCAAATCTATGTAAACAGCAAAAGTTCCTGTTGGCAGGCAAAGTAGCGAAACTCAGAATATCAAGCTATCTTCAAAGTAAACTCAACACATTCCATTAGGCTGATGTCACATCGGAAGTGGCAGGTTTACCGGGACGATACTTGCTGTAGATGCTAAGGTAACGTGTCGAGTGTAAAAACGCACTGCTCACACTGTGTAAATGTCCACACCGCGTTAGGAGGCATGCTAGGTGACCCGATTGCCTGTGTAAATGTAATACAAGACCTGTAAATTAAGTGATGACGCTGGCAACCTAGCGTTCGTTTTGGCAACACTGGAGGCACCGGGCTTGGAGGAGAGGCAGGGGAACATGTGATCCGCCTTCAGTACAAGTTCGAACTTGCTCGAGTCATTTGGTTGTCTGTAGCGATTTCTTTCCTATTGTGTTCTAAAAATGGATGACATCAATTACGAACAGCGGTGTAGAATCGCGATTAGCGAAATACTCATTGATGGCAGTATCACGTTCATTTTCTGCTGAGTTCATCAGTAGATCCATAGTCGCTTAGCCGCTTTCTGTCATCTGTCTCCAAATGACTAGATCACTACCGTACTGCTGATTCCTAAAAAGCATGAAACAACTCAGAGTATGAAACTTGTGCTGCGTACAATCCTTTATGGACTGATGACGGCGTTGCGTGAGAATTGCAGAGTCAACCTACTTGACTCTTGATTTTCGAAACTTTAGGGTAATTCTAGGACAGATGGCCCATCAGGTGAGTTGGCCCACCGTCAATATCTCCACAAATGTATGAAAGACCGATACTTTGGCAACACCGGCAGCCATTTAGTATTGCGTCATATGCTGTGTCAGCCGCAGTTAGTAATTGAACGTTTTATTACAGTAGAATTACAACAGAAGTGGTGGTTATATGTACGATTTTTTTTTTGACAAAGTATTAAAATTGCGTTAGAGGTACGTATTGTTATTTTTTGCAAACAATTACAAATTCATCGGGTAGTATAAGGCCTGGCGGCATTCCTAACCTAAAATTAAATTGTTATTCGCATGTATAACTTAACGCCGAAGTGAGCCATCTATCCTTGTAACATTAGGTGAGTTGGCTCACTGCTAAGAGAGGAGAGATGGCTCAATTACTTAACATGATTTTAATAGTTATGAACTCTTTTGCAGTTGAAGTGCCTACCGAATATAAACGCAAAGGTAGTGTTTGTCGAGGGGAATGGTCAGAACAAGATTTACAACAAGCTATAGAGGCTGTACAAGAAGGTAGAGTAGGTGTTCGAGAAGCAAGAATCTACAATGTAGATGAGACAGGTCTACAAATGAACAACAAACCAGGCTTTGTTATTGCTCAGAGAGGTTCAAAAAACGTATCGGCAGTGACATCAGCAGAAAAAGGCGAAACAATCTCCGTAATAACTTCTTGCAATGCGGAGGGGTCATTTATACCACCAACGTGCATCTTTAAGGGTAAGAATCAGAAACCAGAGTTTGCCGATGGTATGCCACCAGGCTCCTTAGTATGCATGTCTGAGAAATCAGCTTATGTCAATAATGTTTTATTTTTGAGGTGGCTTAAAGAACAGTTTGTCCCAAGGAAACCTCCGGGATATGTTATGTTAATCCTCGATGGACACTCATCGCAATGAAGCATCGTAGAGACACTAGAATATGCTTCTGAAAATGAAATAATTTTTACGTGTCTACCTAGTCACACAACTCAATTTCTTCAGCCTCTAGACAGAGGAGTTTCTAAGTCACTAAAGGCGTTTTATTATGAAGAATGTAATGCTTTCATTAGAAGAAATCCCAATCGACGCATTAACAGATTGATTTTTGGACAATTACTCGCTGCAGCTTGGGAGAAATCAGCAACTGTTAAAAATCCGGTTTCATCTTTCAGAGCTACAGGAATTGTGCCTTTCAATCCGTCTGCGATTCCAGATTACGCTTATCTTACTGACAAACCTCAGGTAGCTTCACCTAATGAACCTGAATCTCAAGTTTCACCGAATGGTGAAATATCTGTTGACAATAGAAATGAATCTGCTCAGGATTCATCTATTATTGAAATATTGGAATCGGTAGTGAATGATTCAGCTGGACCATCTGATATGAAGACACCTGAGAAAGAAATAGATACCCCTGGAAAAATACTGGACAAAATTAACCCGATTCCTATCACTGAAGCAGTCTCTTCTGCGAGGAAGAGAGGTGGACAGTTGGCTTCTGTCTTGACTAGCAGCGATAATATTAGAAATAAGAAAAAGAAACTAGAAGAAAAATTACAAGCTGAGGCGAAGAAACGGAAAAAGAAAGAAAACAAGAAATGCATTAAACCAGGCCCTAGCCGCATTCAAAGTAAGTCTAAAAAACTCACCCATATATTAAAGGAGAGATGGCTCAGTCTGATATTTTATTTTTTCGTTTCTTTGAGAATAAAATTTAAGTTTGATTATTTTTTCTGTTGTAATAATATTCTTCATATAAGCCTGGTTTAACCTAAGTTATTAAATGATTTTTCTGGGGTATAATAAAGCTGTTATGTTGATTTGTAAAAAGGTGGGCCATCTGTCCTAGAATTACCTATACAGTATCGCATTAAAACTAATACCAAATATTCATTGTATGCTAACATTATAGTGCAATGTAATTGATTTTAATCAAGCGTAATGTGTAATTATCATCATGAATTACAACAATGCTGATAAATTGTGTGGAAATATATTGCTGTCGGTCTGAATTCCGGGACTGATTGCATCAGATTGCTGTATCCAAGAGCTATTTCGCCGATCCTCGGATAATGGAATGATCCATATACCGGATTAGCCGGCATCATTGCAGCATTGATAGCTCATCAGTTGAACGTAGCATTGATTGAGCAGGTAAGGAGAAACTGATCCAAGGCAGCTTATAAAGATGATACAATCACAGAATACTTATTTGATAGTCTCTGATGCAAATAATTTAGTGAAAGGATAGACTCAATAAGGGCTGCAAAATGTGGAGACTCAATATGAATATGATTAAGACAGAGTACCTGAAAGGTTGAAATGGAGAATCCAGAATTAGAAATCAGAAATATCAAAAGATGTAAGGAAAACAAATACCTCGGCAGCATCTTGAAAAAAACTAACTCGCATTTTAAACTCCTTGGTAGTCTAAGGGTGGATTTCACCAAGGTTGTCAAATTAACAGTCCGTTTTTCTCCACCTATAGGGTAACAGTCGGTCAAATACAGCGAATGAGCTTCAACATCCAATCAACAAATTTCAGCAACCAATAGCTATGAAATGTTGGAAACAAAATATTGTCAATGTATGAGATTACAGCTTGTCCTTGAAACATCAACAGCTTAGTGAATATTAAGAAATTACATATAATTCAGTCAAAATTTAAAGAAATGTTTGATTTTTGAATAAAATTCATGTTTTAATTACTATTGTTGATTTTTTATTCATGTTTATATTATTTTCTTAAATTGATATGCGATTTTACTGATTTAACATCACATCCCGTATTTTTTCCCAATAAACCTCTTGCAGATAAACATTAAACACCTACTTGATGACAGACTCTACCAAAAATTTCATAGATATTGCTCGTTTCCAGACATTCATTCATTTACTTGCCGTTCATCAGAGCCATTATGGCACATTAGATTGATATTCCCACAAAACCATTCAGGATTTTTGATATCCATATCTCCATAAAGTAAAATATTATTTGGTTGTTCAGGAACTGACTAATAAATTCTCAAATATAGGTATGTCGTAAAGCTACCGGCAAACTTAAACCTGCAAAAAAATATAATTTACAATAACTTTCTTGTTTCACTGAGTACATATTCTAGATTATATTTATAGCAGACATTATCTGAATAACAGCTGATAAAAAACTCCCCAACTAGTGACACATGTGTGGGCTCCGTCAACCATTGGTCCCAGTGGAGTAAGCTCCGCCAACTGTTGAAATATACTCTACTATGCTATATAAGACTATACGTGGAATTTTTCCCAAAATCGTTGCGCAACACTTGAAAAAATGCAAATGAAAATTTAAAATTATTTCCATGACGCCGCAAAATTGTTCCGTCGGTACCTCGGGTTATACATCTTGACAGTAGGGATGTTCGATACGATCCTATATTTAGAAGTATCGATACTTTTATATACGACACTTGGGTGTATCGATACATTTCACGAGTATCGTCATCTTTCGATCCGGTCTGTGTCGGAAACAGTGACTAACTTCAGATTACTTTTATTTTTTGTTTCCTTCCGCTGGATATCGATAATTATTTTCCAATATTTTAGAGTATCGATACATCTCAAAACGATAAGAATCGATACATATCGATACTTTTCGTGGATCTTAACATCCCTAATCTTGACAGCTTGAGGTTCTTGTCAACTGGGCTGCAGGGTGCGGTGTTGCCTTTACTATCTTGTATTTTGCTAAAATCTTATGACAAATAAAAGCTTCAAATGAAATATTGACCAATATGAACGGATATGCATAGAATTTAGAATATAAATTCATGTTGCAAAATTCAGATTGTCTATGCATGGACTTGAACCGGATTTTCCGGTATTTTTACCGAAAAATAAATATTTACCGATGACATCATTCTCCACGATTTTTCAGAATAATTTAATTTGTCTATACTTGCCGAAAAAGAGCTGAAACCAAAAATAAAGCTAAAAGTTAAACATAGTTGTATGCCCCATATAAATCATACATATGCAGACACACTCAGGCAGTTGGGCACATGAGAGGCGTAGATTTGGGTTGCCTATGATTACGAACGCACATGCTCATCCCTTACTCCGCTTGCCCTGAATTGGTTTTTGTGCATACAAAAGGTACAGACTGGTAGATTACCGTCATTACCTCATCACCGGACAAGCAATAAAGAAACCGAAACCTGTCTGTTTTCAAAATAAATATTTAATTAAAATGGGAGGTGAGTTCAGGGGTAAAACAGAAAAATATTCACAATCACTTAAGAATCGAAAAAGGAGTTTCCAGAATGGTTGCAAAGTACTTTGAAAGAGCAACCAGTAAGCACATTGTAGAAGTTGTAATATAGGACAATGCGCTCAAAAAACATGTTGTGTGCGCGTCCAATAATAACAGATGTCTTTCGTGACTCAAAGGTCCTTAATATACCACTGATCTTGGGACAGCATTTACATCATACCGAATTCATCGACAGTATTTACCGATTCCGTTTTTTTGCCGCTTCGGCCACACTGCAGATGTGCAGATCACTTTAAAAGTAATTGATATCCCACATGTTTTATAATAATAGAAATAATAAGAAAACATAACAATGTTTGGAGATATATTTTCATAAATACGTATTTTTGATTCTGACTTATAATATCTAGACGATGAATAATAGGTGGGTGCGGATACGTTTACAAATATCGATGTTTTAGGACCCATAAATGCATAATGTGTTGTTTGTTTACATTTGGTGTGGATTTCTAGATCATAAATCGGCAAAAATTGTTTTTGATATAACAAAAGATGATGAACCAGTTGGAATACGTTTTATATCCTTTTTTTGCAAAATAACAAAAATCGGTACATTTCAACAGGTAGGTATTATGTACAACACCCTGTAGGTGATATACAGACAAAAATAGATTGCCATGCATGAACAGTCGTCAAAAACAGTGAAAACATCCTACCAAAGATAATAGCTAGAAAATCGACCTATCATTTCTCCCATTTTCATTGGTCCATTTAAATAACTGAGCGTCTTTTCTGAAATGATAAAAATTTGAAATTCTATGAAAGTTATCCTAGTTCTAAAGCACAAAGACATAATATTACATCTATAAAGTACTTTTATTTATAAGGCAACCATTTTTTCACGACTTTATTCAACATTTCAGTAGAAATCACTGCTATTCAGAGAGCTTTAACAGCTTCCGTCAAATTGCATTTCGATAAGGTATTTTCCCATTGGTCCAAGGGAACGTCAAATATTAATGTTGGTGAAACTGGCCCTAAGAATATTTGACAAAAAACAAAAATACCAGTTTATTGAACACTTCTGGAAAATATTTTGACATACGGGTCAGAATGTTGGCAGCTTTTACGGCAGGATAGGAAAAAGATTGAGATGGCAGACATTTTCTGGGAAGAGCATGCCGGGTATCCAGGATGATTGAAGAGATACTTAGTAGGACAAAAAGGGTAAATTCCAGTGTAGACACGATAGAAATGAAGGAGTTATTGTGGTATGGCCATATTATGAGAATGGGCAAAAAAGCATTAAATTGCTAACCACGACATACAATAGTCAGATCATGAGAGACAGCGCTTTGGAAGAGAAAGACTGACAGGATATAGAGCGAAGGCGATTCAAATTTGTCAAGCGGAAGAGGTTGTATAATCCCCGCCTATATGAGTATGTATGAGGATCGACTCGCTACCGGTGGGAGTAAAGCAATTTCTACGGTGCATGAGGCACCATACATCAACACGACTATATATAATGCATAAGGAGAAGTGGTCATTATTTAATCCTATCGTCGTTCGGTCTGAATTGTCAATAATAAAAATGAATACCTTCACAAAAAATATCTGCTAATAGTGTGGTCGCTTAAAATGCTTGTACAAGCACATTTGCTCCAAAGCTCGCAAGTTCGAATCCCAGCTTTAAAAGATACATTCCGAGCCTGATCGTTGTGTTTGCCTATGTATGGACCAGATTATAATCAAGAGCATCGATTTAAATTGCTAATATATTGGCTTTTTTGAGATTATGTAGAATTTCATATAAAATGGCATCTTTGAACTAGCTTCATGTTCACTTGTAGTATGAGCGGAATGAACTAACGGCACACCGGCGACTATCTAGTGCATAAGTGGACCTTTTGCCGATTGTTTTGATATTATATAGGTTTTTTACGTAATGGTTCTTCGGGTTGCTGTCGCTTTGGTGAGAATGCTTGCTTAAGGACGCCTTCAAGAAACGATTTGACTCAACCCTTGTAGCAAGCATGGAAAAGAACGCATCCTTGGAACACGTCCAGAGGTAGAAACTCAGTCTAAAAAAGTGCTTTACATAATGTTTCAATGAAAAAAAGACTTAACATAACTGAATATCCGACAAATCTTTCTCTTTATTTTCTAGGGCAATCATCATAAAAATATATATCGTGTCTGTTTCATCGAACTGTACTTTGTACAACAGTCATAAAGAGTTGAGCACTCGGTTATTTTCCCACCAGACGCGAGAAAGGCGACATCGATTACAGTATCCTGAATGAATATACTAACGCGCATCGATTTCTCGACATCAGATCCGAATTTTACGTATGCACGTTGCTAGTAAAACGTTTCAGCTTTAGCGCATTCGCAGGCGCTAGCTAAAGCAACTTACGACATTAAGGTAATTTGTTTTTTTGTCTCTTTGAAATATGGTTCAGTTCAGAATACTTCACAGATGGAACGTTGAAAACGTCACGTTTTTCAAACGCCC